ACTCCATTACTTAGAATTCGGGCACTGGAACACCTAATTCATGAGTTCTAAGCCCTTTATTATATCTGCTCTCCATCAGTAACTTACTGACACAAGCAAAACTGATATACACAAGTGTTAAAAGGATTAACGGAAATGAACATTAGAGATTTGCACCAGATGAACCAGATTGATTTTTAAATCCACTTGATTAAATGGGTGTACTTTTTCAAGACTGATTCATTTAGCATTATCTCCCTTAAAGGCTTCACTGATATTTCACATACAGTGACTAATTACTTTTCAGAACACTGTGTACTTGTTCTCTTCTTCTGTGGACTTTAGTGACTTCTGTACAGTCTCTACGCCTGGGTAAAGTGGGTATAAAATGCTATTCTGCTTGACAGTATTTCATAGCACTCTGCAGGGATCTATGAGGGATCACAAAAGGGGCACAGCATTCAAGCACACACAAGAGAAGGCTGGTGTCCCTAAGCCTCCCCAAGCCAGACTGCTCGTTTCAGAGCTGATCTTTGGGGTCCAGTTACTTTCCTGCTTTGGAGTTGCTAAAAATGACAAAATTCACTTAAAGTGTGTTCACAGTTATAATGTTCTGGACTAAACAAACACGGAGTTCTCTAGAAAATTCACTTTAGTTTTCTTCCATGTAGCCGTGCAGGGCTGGAAGGTCAGTTTATGACTACAACTCCTCTGCTTCTTAGAGGCAGCTTGAAACCAATTTTGAAACTTCCAGGGCTGTTAGTACCATCACAGGCTCCCTGCTAAAGCTGCAGGAGTGACTTGCAAATGTATGTGACCTCTGTGACCAGCACACTGCTCAGTCTAAAGGAATAACATTAATAGTTCAATGAGGGAGAGTGCATGCCAAGCCCAGCTTCAACTGGACTCTGCTGCTGACTGAAGGGATGGAGGTCCTGTCCCAGAGTCCTCAGCTACAGAACAAGTTATCTTCCCACACTGGGCTGGTGTAATACTTATAGCACAGTGTAAGAGTGTAAACCCCTGTTGTACCCTAATAACTAACTTTAACATTACAGATAAGGTGTGAATCATAATGGAAATTAGTTAAGCATTTCCAAATTGTTACACTGTGCAGTGGAAATAAAGGCAAGAAAGGTCATGGCTGACCTCAAAGAGGCGATGCTACAGAGACAAGGGCCTTTCAAGGTAATGTAGCTTACAGTGAGTAGGAAAGACAAAACCATGAAGGGGAGGAGGAAAAAGAAAGTATGAAAATTCAGCTAAGAAAGGGGGAAAAAGCCAAGAAAAGGAAAGCCTTTTTAGAGGGGCAATTACACATTAAAAAAAAAAAAAAAAAAAAAAAGACAACAGATTGAATTAAAAAAAAAAACAAAACACTAAAACCAATAAAAAAAAAAGGAAACAAAATCCAAACCAAACAAACAAAAACCCAAAAACAAACCCAAATCAACACTAGCAAAAAGAACAGAAATCAAAAGCTCCCTGAACATTTGCAAGAGGTTTTACCACAACATTAGTCTTGATTCTTGCTGTTAACACTTTGTGTGCTTTCCTAATGTAATTTTAAAATCACAAGACCTAATTAATCAAACATGGGTATATCCTCCTTGCTAAAAAGCCCTGGAAAAAAATACAATGTAAGTTCTAGAATAGGACTGGTATGCTTTTCCCATTAGTCCCACAAATTTGAAGACTAAATGAATATGATTTCAATACATAATGATTTTATTCTCTTATTCCCAAACAATCATCCACTAGAATCCCTTTTGTCAGACACCATTCTTTATGGGTTGACAACATTTGATAAAAGAAGACACTCATAACATTTCAATAGACAGAGTGAGATTAATCTCAATTTGAGGTTGTTCTCCTTTATGACTGACAAGGTTAGCACTTCCATGGTCCCTCCTCTTTGTTCATACTCTGATTGGGCTAAATACTTTGACACGACATAGATTTTCTTGTCCTACTTTCTTCTTTAGAAAGTAATTCACCTCTTCCTCTGACAATTAAGATATATCTTGGAAAATTACTAAACTATACACTACACTGAACATAAGTCAAAACAATTTTCAGTTCAGTTTGCAGGCCCCAGATGAAACTGCTAGCATGTGCATATTGCACCCTCTATAAATGAGTCCATGAATTATACATCAACATTATACATCTCAATTCTTTTTACATTATGACTTGTTTATAGAGTACATTAGGATTATACAGAATTTAGCATGCAAAGTCACCCAAAGCCTGTCTTGCTGAGTGCATAATAAAGGTACCAGATCACATCTTCAGAGAATATCGTTATACCATTTACAAAAATAGAAACAATGTAAAGCTTCAAAAAGCAAAATACAAGGAGTTCACATTCATATCAGAAAAGCTCCAAGGCTCCACTGACAGACAATCAACAAAAACCAGCAAACATAAGTGTATCATCATAGGCCTTAAGTGCATGAGCGACTATCTAGTCTAATCTACTAAAACATCTAAACCTCACATCTTTCCCTGGAAAATCTGTGAAAGTTAGCAGTAGTTGTGGATTCTCCAACTGTATATTTTTTCTGATCATGAGTTGAAGCTAGCATAAAGCTTCGAGGGACTAAATTACACAGGCTTCAGTTTTACAATCCTGAAATCAAATGTTTCAAGCATAGGAGAATCCACCTTTCTGGAAAAATAATCACAGTTTTCTTGGCATAACATGAAAAGGTCTGTTTTCAGAATGTAAACAGCTATTTTCGAAGGAGTGAATTTCAGGGACTTCAGAAAGAGCAAGAATATCAAAGAAAGGAATTCATGTTAGCAATGCTGGGCAAATGGGTAAGAGGATTATGAAGAGCTTTACCAAATACATATATGAAAAAGCACTAGGTCAAGGATGGGGGCAGAAATGAACAGTGATTCAAATATTACTATGATACTGAACACAGTTTGGAAGTCTAAGTGTGTGGTAAGAGAAGATGAGTGACTATTGTAAGTAGACAAATTCAAGTAAAGGAATACCTTCACATTTAAATAAAGTGCTGGGAAAAGAGCATTAGACCACTTTCTGCACTGGTCTGTATTTGGGGAGAGCAATCATGGAAAGAAAGAATCAGAAAATAAATCTCCCTCAAAAAAAGTGGTTTTGAAAATTAATATCAGATGGAAAAGGACACTTTCAAGCTATGATCCCCAAAAGTCTATTTTTAGTATTCATAAGAAAGGCTGCCACTAATTTACCAGCACCATTAAAGTGAATGAATCTACTGAACATTAGAGGTAGAAGACATTTTTAGAGATCAGAAATTATGTGAGAAAGGCAAATCTTGAAAGAGTTACAACTGGGTTGAATTAAATGAAAAGTTTTAATGATTTTTTGATTAAAGCAAGTGTCATTCCAAAATTACAGTTTTGTTCCCGGTCAGAATTACACATCTAACATGGAGTAAATCCAAACAATTTTAAAACTGATATGTATTCTTACCCCACAACAATACCCGTTACTCACACAAGTCTGGAAAGTACCTTTCATTCAAACTAAAGGAAGGAGTAGTTAAATATTCCCATGTGTGATGACACCTGAAACAGAAACTCCTACCCAAGGTTAGTCAGTATGGGAAGCAGTTAAGCCAGTTCAGTCAAAAGCCTTTGCTGATTTCTCAGTTGATTGCAAGGTAATGGGTAGTGTTTTGAGCTCTGCATTATTAAGTGCTGAGAAAAAACAAAGCACTAAAAGCAACTCAGCAGACAGCACAAGTTGTGCTCATTGGGAGCAAATGCAGAGCTTAGTGTTTTACAGAACCAGTTGGAAAGTCAGACTTGGCTACCATAGATTAAAAAGTTGGTTGTGAAGGTCTATTTGTATACTGTGTTAGGGGAATTAAGCTAACAAAGTTGCAATGAATAAATACCAAGGATTATCAAATTCTACTAATGATAGAAAGAAGCCAGAAGAGCCTCCAAATATTGGAATATTACTTGTGTCAAAGGACAAGGAATTACTATGAGGCCAATGTTCAGAAAAAAATGCATATGAAAAGGCATAAACCCAAAGAAACAGAACCTTATGGTCCTCATCTAAACTCCACTCCCAGGACACAAGGACTTCAGGAAAATGAACAGTGAAGGGGCAGAAAGATGCATCCATGTACATAGATGACATTTATAAATATATATGTAAGAATAAAACCCTTACTTCTGCCTTGGACCAGGCCTTTGGAAAAAGACAATTTGCATTAACAACAGCCCTGGCTACGCAACACCATTCAGGTTTCTATGCCATTTTTTGTGCCATACTTTCAAATCTTAACAGAGCAAGGAAGAATAAAAAACACAACCCACAGCATCTGTCATGAAGTTCTAAATGCATTCCTTCATCATCAAGTCCATGAGCTTTTATACATGAAAGCAGGCCTCAAGTTCCTCGTCTATCTGGTACACAGGGTAATGAAATCAGAAGTGATCCTGAATCAGTCTGCAGGAAACTGCTGCCTCATTCCCTGACTTTTTCTGTTGTGACAGTCAGATTCATTGTACCTGAGCTGACAGCTGCTGTCTTAACCCAGATGCATACCATAAAATGTATTTAAGGGCCTTATAGAAGAGGAAGGTGATCTTGAATTGAATGTATTTATTTAGTGGAGAAAAGTAAACCTGTGAAGGCAAGACCAGTCATGTGCTCATGGAAATTTCTGTACTTTATGAGATGTATTTGTGACAGCACTGAAGAAGTCAGAAGAACACCCCCCTGTCTGTGATTCAGCCATCAGCAGGGATGTATAGGCAACTCAAGGGCATGAAACACCAAAGAGCAACAACACTTACTTTCTGCAAGCTCCCACTCATATCACCAGAAACAGATCTTTCACAATATTATCCCTGGCTTTCTTGTAGATTGTGTGTAATAGAGGAAATGCTGGTAAAAGGATGGCAGCAGAGCTTGAATGCATCTGATATAAATGTTACTTCTCTCTCCAAATAAAATAAAAGAAAGCTTATGGTTGTTTTTTTGACATTCATGATGTCTTTACCTACAGAAGATGCATTAGAAATGTGATCCAAGGACAGAGATCCCACTAGGTAAGGTTCTGCTTTTCCCAAATGACTCATAAAGCAGTTGTACAACTAGAGAGCTTAGACTTGTTTTGGTTTTTTGGCCTTGTGTTATAGACACATTCAGTATTTTTATGCATTACAAACTAAAACCACAGTAAACAAACAGCCTATTGAAGCTGTTTGGAATTGGTAGATGCATTCAGTCTGGCAACTCCTAATTACATCATCAGCTGTTTGCCTGTTTTTAATTCAGGATGTTAACATCTTACTCTCCTAAGCAAATGGTTGCACACCTCAAGCTAGCAAACATATTAGTCTTTAGAAATCTACGCATCTACTAATACTCATTTCTAGACCCATCTTTTTAGATAAAGTACATTTTGTGATTGAAATATACTGACATCTCTGTGCATGGCTATACATGGAAAGAAATCTGCATTATTCATTTATGTTTTCTCAGAAATAGTAACTCACATGTAAAATTATGGAAAAGAATAACTTGTATTTTTAGGGCATGCTGGCAGACAAGCTGATATGGGGGAGTTTAGTGCCTACCACTATCCTGGGTCTGATGCATCTGACAATTTTCAGTGATGCAGGAAATGCTTCACTGGCCTAAAATGGTACATAAAGCCACTCTTGAAAGAGGACAAATTACCAAAGCTCATTTAGAATTAAATAGTGGGACAGTTATTTTGATTTCAGGACGTTCCCTTTGTTTTACATCAGCAACTGTCTTGCATGACTGAAATATCATAGGTTATTCCAGGATAAGGAACAGAGTGTAGCCTCAGCTTTTCCTCTTTAGACTTAAATTCCTTTTAAATTCCATAGGAATGATTCCCCAAAACCTGAGGATTACTGTCAGCTGTCCAAGATTCCATCAAATTTTCAAAATATTTTTAAGCCTGAACATAGCATTTGCAAGTGTAAGCAAAGCTGCATGAAGCAGAATTATTTTCCAGTCCTTAAAACTCATATCCTATTTATATATCTGGTACAATACTAATTTTTTTGCAACTTCATCACATTGTGAACTCCTGTCTCATTTGCTGTCCATCACCCTCAGGTCTTCCTCTGCATTTCTGCAACATGATTAGGGAACTAGCCTTAAGTAAAAATAACCAACTCAATCAACCCTTACTTAGAATTTTGAGAATTCAGACAATCCAAGGGAATATTCCTCTACTCTCCCAACTCCATCTTCTCTAGTCACACTGCAAATAAGCACATTTACTCCCAACACCCAGTAATCCTGTTATAATTATTTCTCAGAAAACCTCTGCTGTGGGTTGAGAGGAAATGGAGAAGAGCATAAAATAACTGTGCCAGAGGCTCCAGTCCTATCAGGAAAAGGTAAGCATTCCTTCAAACACCTGCTGCAAGCCTACCACTATTTACACCTTAGGGTAGAAATAAGAACTGCTGCATTATGATCCTTTGCTCCAGCACCTTTTCATTAAGAACACCTATTGAAGCATTTCACTACCATCTCTGGATTCCCCCAAAGCCCCATACAGCTGGAAAATTCCTGCTTGGTCACAAGTGAGCATTTTCTTCTGCTTTGTGAAAGGGCACTATTAAATTTGAAGTATGCTGAAGCTACATTTGACACTATATTTCTGCAATCAATACCATTACAAACTTACACATAAAGCAGAGTAAGATGACATTCTTAGTTGATACGATTTTAAAAGTTGATGTTTCATGAAAATAAAGACAATACAACAAAAACCACTTTAAATCATGATTTACTTTGTATCAACAAGGTTACCTGTTGCAAATTGAGTTTCCTAATTTGAAAGACAAGTTAGGCAGTCCCTCCTCTGCTGATTGCATTCCTATGAAGCAGCAAACTTGCGAAAAAGGAAAGACTATGTTCATCTTCTGTTTCTATTCAGGTTACACTGCACATGCAGAGAAAGGCAAAGGGACCCTCGTCCCTGGAATTTTTCCAGATTTGGCTAGACAAAGCCACAGCTGATCTGATATAGTTCCAGGACAAGTTCTGCTTCAAGCAGGAGATGGGGTAGATGGCATCCCCAGGTTCCTTCTAAACACTTCTGAGAATCTGGTCTGTCCGTGAAAGCAGTAAGAAAGTCAGTTGTATCCCAGTGCTTTATAGATGTCAAATACTGAATAAAGCAAGCGGAGAAAATGCATCTAAAAATAAAAATAGAGTCAAAGGATGCCTTGTTTTTCCTGTCTCACAACAGCAACAAGAGCCAGGAGCAGGCAGAAAATACAAAGGATCTTTTTCTCCCTGGCAGCTTGGGTGGGTGACTCACAGCAAGTAATGAACTCTCTGCATACTGCTCCTGTCAGCGCTGAGCAAATTCGCCTTTGAGTCCTGACCTGGGATATGCAACTGCGGACAGAAAGGCAGAGTTTGGCTGCTTCCTAGCAGTTTTGTCAACAAGACATAATGCCAAGGACAGCTGAGGACAGCAATCACTGAAACTTAGACTTTGCAAAGCACCTAAAAAAACAAGTGACAGGAAAGCAGGTTGAGAAAATCCCAGCATTCTCACATCCCACAGCTGCTCTGAATTGCAGCATTTTGAGCCTTTCCCAAGACTTTTCTTCCCAGAACTCAGAGTGCCTTTGGATCCCTTTACACCTACCTACTGCCAGCCAGAAAAATGTGTGTCCTTGTACTTCTGTTACCCACCAAAATTTGTAGCTTTCCTTTTGACTTCTAACTTAAAAACCAAACCTAAAGATTAAACAAAGGCAGCTTTTGCTTGTAGGGAGCAGGAAACAGGATTTGCATATGATTTTGTAATTAACTCATTTTTGTCCTATACATTGTAATTGCACACAATTCCTGAGGCATTGATAGCACATTTCACCATGCATTTTCACAGCTTATATACCCAGAGAAGGCTGTTCACAAACACACCCTTCCAGACTAATAGGAAGACAAAGCCTTGCAGTAAAGATTTTGTTTTAAATTTTCACTTCTGTTTTGCAGAATTGATGCATTTCTTTATCACCTAAACTTGCTATTACATTTACTAGACCCAAACAGTTGAATTGCATTTCATTTGACCTTCATCAATGGACGCTAACTTTTAGTTTCCATAGCTCAGACACCATCACATTAGTGTCTTGCTTCTCCATGTAAATAGGATTTTTCATATACACCTAAAGGCAATGAGCAGTATGGATTTGACATCTGCTGCAAATGCAGCTGTGGCTCCAGCTGGTTTTATTCCCTGGGGTAAATGAACAGCATGATACTTAGATTCTGAGAGAGTTAGTTTACTGTAGACAATATCATCATAATCACCAGTAATATCAGTTATTCTTTTTCAAACAAGTTGTTTCACAAAAAGTATGATTTAAGAAGCATTCCCAAAATTTCTCAAGCGTAAGAATGACAAATCTGGCTTTTCTTGTCTTTACTGTACACAATGTGTTACTGCTTCCACACCAGGCAGAACAAGGGCATCTGTAGAAGGGAGAATGCTGAAACTGAAACCAGTACACCACTGGAAGCTCAACAAAACAGTATTTATTACAAAGAAGTGATCAACAAGACGAGAAGCTGAGAGATAGGAAAGAGAAGGGAAAATAAACACCCAAGACAACACTCTCACTCACTCAAGCGTTATTTATGAGGTTGTCTTACCAATCCTAGAATGCTTAAAAATTCCCCATAGCAGAAGCTGCATCCCTGGAGCATCGGCAGGCTCACAAAATAGCAGGTGTCCCTGCCAAGGCAATGTTGTCCTCCAAGTGAAGCTTGAGTCTACTCCTAGCACAAGCTATCTGCTTTTTTATACAATTAGCCAGTGATGTCTATCTGGGCAGGTGTGGCCAGCACCACCCAGCTAGAGGCCTTCAGTGCCTCCCCCCATCATGTAAGGGGTACCTCTTCTGTGCATGCATGTGTACGTTGGAATTTCTCCACGCCTGCCTGCTACACCTCCGGGGGTCTTTCCTAAATGAGTCTGGGGGCTTACTTCATCATCCTCCTCTTCACTTTCTCCTTCAAATGCCCTTGGAGGGCCCTCAGCCAATAGCGAGGCCCCAATTAATTTCAGTTTATACAAGATGCAACCTTCAAGGACAAAGTTCTCATTTATCAGTGCTTGTTTTCACGTAACTTGGCAGGAAAAGAACAGACTCTCACAGGTGGCTGGGCCAACACACAGACTAAAATTAAGAGCATCTAATTAAACACAAATACAGCATCTTATGCCTGCTTTGTACAGCTCGAGGCTAAAAAGAACCAGCTCCACATTGCACAGGTTTTATGACTGGAAGTTTTTCCTGTTGAATTCACCAACACAAGGGCCAAAATGACCATTACATTCACTGTAGGGCTGGTGGAAGCTTTCAGGTTCATACCTTGGAAAGGATCCTTCTTTTCCACATTCTGAAAATGGCTCAGGAAGTGGCAGTGCACTTTCTTCTTTCCTGAGGACTTCCTTCTTTATTTTAAAGAATAAAATCCTTTGATACTGCAAGACATAATTTTATTCCATACTAAACCAGTCTTTCCTAAGAAGTCTCTTCCTCCCTTATGCTTTCTGACCTTCTGCTTCAAGTCCAGTTCAGTTTTAGAAGCAGTAAACTTTGAACTGCACACAAAGTAAGATGATGTATAGATTCTGAGAAGAACATACATATCACAGGATCTCCTTAGACTGTGGTGGATTAGTCCTAGTAAATACAGTGACTCCTTTCACCACTCCTAAAACAATCTGCAGATGCCATTGGTGATCCAGCTGCCACACAAGTATTTGCCCATTAGGAACTGTCCCTGACAGATAAGAAGCTACTGAAAAGCAGTCACAGGTAAATATTTTTAATTCCAATTAAGATAGATCTGAATCTGTGACTTCAGGGTGAAGGAGAATGAGTTCTGTGAACTAGTCTCCCACTATAGGAAGTTCTAAGGAAAGCTGTGTGATATCAGCAGTTGACGCCTTTCTAAAAGCCAGTCTCTTCTCAAGGTCAGGTGAGGACAAAATAAGTGAATGTAAAAGCAATCATTTAGGGAAAAAAGAAGGAGGCAAAACCAACAAGATTTGGAATTTTAACTGATGTGAAAGGAGGTTATTCTTACCTTAAAGATGCAAATGTTGTTTTCATTTAAAGATAAAACCATTGATCTGTTTGCCCTTGCTATGTTTTCTAATTGATCATCTACCTGGTTGACTGAATTTAATTGTGTTCCTGGCATGTAATCTTTCCCGCTCTTGGTTTCTATTTCTCAAATTTTTAAAGCATATTAATAATCAGTTTGCAATTATTTTTCTGATTGCAGACTACCCTTACTATATCTTTTCTTATTTTAAACATATTACGAGCTTTAGAAAAATGTTGTATTACTCTGTTATTTTTTCTGTATCTAAGTGCTGTATTTATTCAGTCACTTTCCATCTACTGGTAAGAAATCTACACTTTTTACTTACAGAAATTCTGCAAGTACTATAATTCAGCTTCACCAATAAAAATCAAAAAAATCTTTGTGAAACGGCTGTCTCATAAGTATTATATTAACTTAGTCTACAAACTGAAAATCCATCTGGTGAAATCTATAAAGACAAATATTTATTTTAAGCTTTAATTTTTATTTTTCTTCTGTGGTCCATTAGGTCACCTCCAGTCATGTACAACAAATATTGTAAATTTTTTGTTTAAATAAATAATACTTGGTTCTGTTATGATCAGGATCTTTAAATTATTAGAAAGAGATGCCTCTGCTTGAATTAAGGGTTCAAACGAGACCATGTGCCAAAGTCAATAGTACAAATTTTTATTTACAGTAAATGTGAGGTAGAGATAGAAAGAAATAGGGAAAAGAGACATGATGAGGGAGAGAAAGAAAGTGACAGAGAGACAGATTAAGTAGGAAAAATATCACCATTCTATGGATTCCAATGGCATCCCATTGATCCTCATCTTGGTGGTGAGAATCCCCATCTTGTCAAAGTGATGGTTGCGGCCTGGAACTGTTGAGGGAAGCCAGAGTGATGAGGGAAGAAGTCCGTGGTGGTAAGGGAAGTCCTGGGTGGATAAGGGAAGAAACCTGTGGGGGGAGGGAAGAAGCTGGGTGGTGAGAGAAGGAGTCTGTGGCTAAGTGAAGGAGTCTGTATCTTTTATTGGGCTTAGGCTAGGTGGGAACACCCCCAATACCTCCCCTGGGATAGGGAGTTTTACAATGGATGATGTAATACTGGTTAAGGGACATTTAATGAGTCTGTGACACCTTCTAAGATGTTACAACTGCCTGTTACAACAGCACAGCTGAGTTCATTGCAGCCGTTTATGTCCCATCGGCAGAGATGAATACTTTGAACATGTGAATGTTCGCTATTTCCCCGGAAGGGAGTAACCACAGCTGAGTAATTTGTGTAAGGTCAAAGAAACACTACCTACCTCGCAGGATTTGACTCTTTCCTTCTCTTGTTCAACACCCACTTTGTAGCCCGAGGTGGTGGGTGTGCACACCCTCTGCACTGGGCAATTACTCTGCACATCATCAGCTTGCACCTTGATTGTCTGAGCCATTGGCATTCCAGTCTTTCACACTTGTGGATACATTCTTCTGGGATAATTGGACAATAGTACCGCCTTTATCTTGTCTCAGGTTCCCACTCCAGTCCAAATTCATATTCAGAGAGGCATATTCAGAGAGGGATGGGCTTCAGTGAAAAGCTGTTTCTTTGCGCAATTTCCTACAGTGGACAAAAGCCTTTCAGTGATTTTAACAATGTTTAAGCCGCGTTCTCGCACCAACTTTATTCACAGTCTTCTTCAGCATGAT